CGAGCACTCTGGAAGTTGTAGAATTGGTTGTCCGATTTCTTGAATAAGAGTTGGAAACCACGTTCTCGCTGGCCAGTAGGGCGCGACCAAAATCAGATGGAGGCTCTGCGTTTGACTGATTTTCCGTAAGACTTGTGGGATTAACGCTGGTGGCAGGAAAGCGTACGCGTTGAGTCCCTCCCACGATATGCTTAGTGCGTCCGTTGCCCATGCTAGTGGGTCTGGAACTGGCGATACAAATGTTGTCAGTTGTTTGTTGAATCGAGTGGCAAATAGGTCTACTAGTGGAGATCCTATTTCCTTGATTATTTGGGTGAATATCTCTGTGTGGAGCATCCATTCTGTCGGCGAAGGTAGGTGTGGCCGAGAGAGAGAGCGTCTGCTTATACATTCTTTGCTCCTGGAATGTGGCAAGCTCTGACATGTATGTTTAGATTGTCGATTAAATCGAACAATCGGAAATATAGAGACAGTAGGTTCGGTGACCTTGTTGAGCCTTGTTTGTTCACATAAAACGCCACTGTCGAATTGTCTGTGTGAATCATCAACTGAGCGTTCTGTAGTAGGTTGCTCCAGTGACTTATGGCATTTATGACTGCTTGCATCTCTAGCAGATTTATGTGTAACTTGCTCTCTTGATTGCTCAATAGGCCTGACGCTGTCCTGTTGGCAAGGTGGGCTCCCCAACCTTGTAGTGACGCATCTACGTAGAGATGTGTTTCCGATTCCGGCTCTATTACGGAGACGCCTATGCAAACATTCAATCTCTTGGTCCACCAAAGTAGATGAGGTTTGACGTGATCTGGTAGACTGAACGGTAGAGGGTCTTCGAGATGCGCATTGATGAGGACTTGTAACGGACGTAATTGAAGTCTGCCTCTGACTGTCAAGTCTTGAGCTGATGTGAGTAATCCCAATAGGCTCTGCCACTGTCGTAGTGGTAGCGAAGAGAGTAAGGCTTGTGGGATTAGCTGTTGGATCTTGATCCATCTGTCCTCCAGGACTACTATACGATTCTGGGCTGTTAGAAATCGTATACCTAGAAATTGCAGACCTTGTGTTGGTTCTAGGTCTGACTTGAGTAGATTTACTAACCATCCTAGTTGAGTTAGTAACGTGATTATACAGTTCAGCTGTAGTCTGAGACGCTGTGGATCTGGATCCACTTGTATCCCGTCGTCTAGTAAAACGCGCTGCGAAGACCTTGACGATGTAGGTATGAGACAATAGGTTTCGTCACTCTTGTGAATACCCAAGGGGCCGATGAGATTCCAAAGGGAAGTACTTTCCATTGGTAATGTATTCCGTCTAGGATAAATCTTAGATATTTCCTTGAATTTGGATGAATCGGAATGTGTAGATATGTGTCTTGCAGATCTATGCTGGCCATGTAATCTCTGGGACAAATTAAGTGCCGAAGTTGCGGTAAGTGTATCATGCGAAACGCTGGCGGTTTGCTTAGATAGTCTCTGTTGAAGATGCTCATGTTGTATATGAGACGAAACTTTTCCTTGGAATTTTTCTTGGGCACTAGGAAAATTGGGGAGTAGAAACCTGGTACGATGTTTCGCTGATCCAGAACTTCTAAGGCCTGTTTGTTTAGAAGAGTAGCTACTGTTTCTCTTAACATTGGTAGTTGTGACGGTTGGAAGTCGAACCTTGGAGGGATGACTGTCAACGGAGGTATGGCCTTGAGTTGTATTTGATATCCGTGCTGTAGGATATTGGATACATAAGGATCTTGTAGGAATCCCCAGTTTTCCCAGTGCAGCTGAAGGCGTCCACCCACTTGAGAAGGTTGTACTGGAACGGCTGGGGGTGGAAGACTCCAGTTGTTCCGAACCTGTATTTCATCGTTTAAAATCGCGGGAACCTCTGGATGACCTGCCTCTTGCTGATCCTCCTCGGAAATTGCTGTATGGGCGACGAAAAGATTCCTTGGGACCTTTTGCTGTAGCCAATTTCTTGTCCCGTGCTTTCTGTAGTCCAGAGAATTTAGACTTGCCAGAGTATCTCAAGGATGTTTGCTTAATGACATTAGCTAACGTATCCATGGACTTGATCATAAGCACCTCTCTAGAGTCCTTAGACACCTCTTTGGAGACCTTGTCTATGTTACCACCAAAGAACAAAGGCGATGACCACGGGGCAGCGTAGAGGGATTTCTTAAATTGATTACCCCAATTGCAGGAGGCTAGTAGACCCTGACGACGAGCCATGGTAGTAGCTGCAGTAAGCGCTGACAAGTGATCTGTAAGGAACTGTTGGTCTCTTTTCTGCATGAGTAGAGCCGAGTAGATCATCCTATCTTCTTCCTCTGTAGAATCTTTGAACTTGGTGATGAGGGTTTCATTGACAGTTCTAGATCTATTCAATCCAAAAAAACATTCTCCTAGAAATGGTATCCAACTGGGCTAGTTTGCGATCGTCTATTCTGTAATTCCTGGACTTGGCATCGCTGATTAACTTAAAGTTCTCATCAATATCTTGAGCCTTGAAAAAGGAGTCCATATTGTGGCCTGCAAACTTCTTGACGTTGAAAACCGGGAAATGTGTTGACTGAAACTTCGTAGATTTGGTAAAGGCTGTATCCAGATTAGCTGGAACCGTTGCTATCGGGTCAATAGGAGGTAAGGAGATAGTGTCCGCATCATCTTCCTTCATCAAATAAGTATGAGCTGAGTTCTCGTTCTTAGACGGGGAAGCAAGTTCCAATCCATTCACCATCCAGTATCTAATTTCTGCATCCGAGAATACGATACCTTCTTCCTCTTCTGACGTAGGATCACATATAATAGAGTGAGGTGGAGTCCTAGATCTGTAAGAAGATCGACGAGAAGATTGTGGTGAACGGACTGACAAGGGCTGGGTTGCCCTACGCGAAGTCATAGCGGGCTCTGGGGCCCTACATGACTTATTATGGGTTGGGCTCTGGGGCCCGCGGCTCTGAGACCTCTGTTAACCGTATCGGTCTTCCATCAACATCATAATCTGGTTGACCAGGTCGTCTGGGACGGTCTGCGCTGGCGTTGAGGCAGCCCTCTCTATGGTAGCGACGGGACCCTCAGTTAGAATCTTGGCCGTCAGCCTAGGCATCTCTGGTTGCGTGTTGATCTGCGCTGAAGTGACGGTAGCCGATACTGGTCGCTTCTTATGACGTACATGTGGAATGATAATCGGAATATCATCATCATATAAACACAATTCTGAAAAAGGAAGAATGTCAGATGAAAAGTTGTTTGTAGCCTTCGTAGGTTTCCCTTTCGACGAAGCTGTAGCCCTGGGGGTGCGGAGCGTACGTTGTGACGACGTGTAAGCTCTCCTAGTCTTAGACTGTGATGATGGGATGTCCTGGGATGCAGGTCGCTTCTTGGATATAGCGGACTGCGTCCCACGCTTCTCCCCCGAAGGTAACTCAGGCGGAACACCAGACGGTAGAGGGTCGTCCGCCAACAGTTGACAGGGTATATCTGACTCTGATCTATCAGCCATGACTGAAGACTGTTTCCGAGATCTATCTGCTGCACGTCTCAAGACGCAATATAAATATTTATCAAAGGCAGAATTAGACAATTTAATACATACATTGCAGCGTGAAACAATAGAGCATGGCGTTGTACAACTAGGGCATATTAAATGCGGATCGGCAGCAGAGAAACGTAATTTACAAACAGTGCAGATTTTCATTAATGCAATCTGCTGAGCAAACACGGCGGACCGTGAATAAAGCAGCAGAAACACGAATAAATATCAATGCATGTTGAATAAGGATACTACTTACACCTCTATAGATGATTATAAGAGGTAACAAACTAATAAAAATAAAGGATATAGTGTGTAGGGAGACACAGGCGCTCTCACGTCCTGCTCACTGGGCGAAGAAGGAGAGAGTGAGGCACATGGTTGGAGGTGGCGCCCTCGTTCCCGCGCTTACGAGGGGACAGATAACTCGTGGTGAGTACTAACTAGTGATTTTACAATGAAGGGAACTTCAATTGGGAGATACAAGTGTTCCACTATGTTCACTAAGACAAGCAAATAGCATGAGTCAGGATAAGGAAAAATAAGTAGATTTCATGTACATATATTTGCATATACATTTTTACTCACAGGGATCGCAGTCACACACAATAACCTCATGTTACAGTGTCCATCTTGATTGGTACCTTATCTCGCCCTCCATCTCTTCATTCCACAAATCTTGTGAACGCATCTGTCATTCTCAATTGCGATTACACAAAACCCTCACTGGATTCTCAGTGTGTTTTGATTCGAAACTATAATACGTTATCAGTGGTGTTTAGTCGTAACAGTGAGTACTTCCTAATTAATTCCTTCTTAATTAATCCTAATTAAATAACAAACAAGTGACACCTTCAACTCAATGAACCCTAATTAGTTTACACTACCGCATCCCTTTGATTCATGCCGCACCGTGTGTAAACGTGTGGAAACAACCTCAGTTCAGAGGGATACTTGCCCATGAAAGGTAGGTGAATATCGAGTTGCTTTGTAAATATCGAGTTAAAAGGGTAAGTTTGCTTGTTGGGACCATGAAATTATATCGAGATATCCGAAATATCGAGACATTCGTATCGAGTTAAAAGAGCTTGAATAATGATAAATCATGAAGGATTCTGCCGGGACCGAGATGTTATATCGAGACAACCAAGATATCGAGTTATCAGAGTTCGACACAACGGTGCTCGACTGTACATACATCAAGGGGGAGGTAACTCTCATTCTCAAACCCTCTGCTCAGTTCTGCAAGACTAACTCATATTTTAGTTGGTGGGGAATCCACTAGTCTTTATTGCATTTTAGTTTTTGAGAGTAACATATTGTGTTTTCATTTTTTTAAAATACTTTGTCACAAAATGATCTTACAAGCTGAATGGCTGATTAGCCAGAACAGGTGGCGACACAAACATGACAAATACGTCAAGGTCATGAGGATACACATAATTCCCTGTACAACAATACAACACTGTATACATTACCTGGAACCAGTTGCCAACAGTAACACATCTTGGAGTAGGCCTCAGACCGAGTCCTTGGTACCATGTTTCATTTGTCTTGCCGAATGCTATGGCAACCAAAGCCAGGAACTCATTTTCGGATATGCGCAGGTTGTAGTCCCAGTTTTGGAGAAGGAAATAACGTAGGACGTAACATATGAAACCATTTTTTCTTCCATATCGATCAAACCAGGTCTCTGGGAAGGCTGGAATAGAATATCCCTATGTATTTGCATATACTTGCAGAAACAGATTCAACCCTTCACTGCTATTTCAAATTACAAAATGTATTTCTTATAACCATCCACTTCCAGGATGAAAACTTTACTTCTAGTTTTGTTTGATTGTTGTTTAATGCCGCACTCAGCAATATTCCAGCTTTGTGGCGACGGTCTGTAAATAACTGAGTCTGGACTAGACAATCCAGTGATCAACAACATCATTACTTCTTAACCTTGACCTTAATGACGAAAACTTCTTAAGTTTGTTTAGTGTCTTAGCTGATTATCTTGATGCATATGTGAAACATTTTAATCACAAATGTTGAATCCTAAAATTGAGTTGAAATTTCAACTACTTTCACAGAGACTTGCTTTCAGATGTAACAGCTCTTCGAAAAGTCAAACAATCTTCCTGGAATGTAGAACTGGGGAAAGTAAAAAAAATGAGAGGGTGAAGATTCAGAGCTACAGATAACTTTTTGAGTCATTTTTCACTGGTGTTCATCTCAATTGGGTATCCAAATTTTCCTTTGCGTAACCACATAAATTGTACCCACCTTACTCAAATGCAATTGGGTATTTTGCCATTTTCCATTAATTGTAAAAACATAATAAAGTTTAAATATTGGTTTACGTGTTTGTTATTATATTTGACAGTGATATGAGAATCGATAAGAAAGACTGCACGTTGCCAAGTTCATGTGCTGCAATAGAAGCTCTCAATATACTTCAGTTACTTTATCTATCCTCAGTAAGTTAAGATTTGACATTTTTGTGTGTACACATGTAAGATCAAATTAAGTATTCAGGGGTGGAAATAACTTTAAAATTGCTAGTGTACTCTGGTACAGTGGCACGTGTAAATTCACTTGACCTGATTATTTTTCCACCATACCGATCGTTTTCTTGTTGATTTTTTAAATAAACAGTATTATTAACATTGAAAAGTCAACTGGACACCAGTACAATGTGATATTCAAATTTGAATGCCCGACAGAAAAAAACACTGGACTCGGACGTCGGGCAATGGGTTATTTCCACCCCTGCGTATTATTGAGTATTTAAAAAATTCAAGCGTACTTGTACACAACAGACTTAATATGAATTGAGTTTTCACATAAAATTAATGTTTGCGTAATTTACGCAGATACGCAGCTTATCTGTACCTCTGAATATTCCAATTTCATGGCGGGAAACACCTGAAAAGGACTTCACACATTTTATCAATGTGTGGATTCAAACCTGGGTGTTCAGTGTGACAAGGAAACACTTAAACGACCAGGCTACCCCACTGCCAATCAAGTAATATGAATGATGCCCATTTATGAAAATGAAAGTCTGGCCATGGCGTTAAATGTACAGTACCATGTACCATTGGGTACTCACCCTGGGGTTCCTGATGGGACATAATGTGATCAAAGAGCCTCAGATTCTTGAATATTTCCTGTGGTTTTATGTTGTTGATTGAAGGAATCATCCTGTTTTCTGTTGCATTGATCTGAAGGAAAGAGCATAATTATCTTGCCTCACACATAAATGTCATTTTCTGATTGGCTGAGCGCTCTTCTATTATTTTCAATGCACCCCGCTTACAAGCGAGTAACAGTTTCTATGTAACAGGGTTTTACATGACGCATGATTCCTGCGTATTTGATGCAACAATTTTGTAAAAGACTCTCACGATATTATAAGAGTCAAGCGTGACGCAAGTTTTATGGGTGACCCTCAGAATTCAGTTCAATAAAATCAGTTTGATAAGCAAACAATGATAGTTTTCGACGATAGTTTGACTTTGACAGAGCTGTCAGATTGTTCCAAAGAACTCAGAGGAGACAGTAATCCTTGCTACTGGCTCGGGTGACACTGCTACAAAAAGACGTACATCAGACTGTATTACCCTCGAGAGAAGCATACAACTTATATTACTAACTAGTTATATAAAAGACAATGCAACATAAAACAATAAAATATTTGCCAAACTCTTGCTTTTTGATTTATAAACACAAAGAAATATTAAATTTTCGTGACTCCCAAATATTGAAAATGACGCCCAAAAATAGACATTGTGAGTCACCATGACTCCCATCTTTCAAAGTCTGTGTAAAACTCTGATGTAACCTGCTAGGAATGCCGAACTTATTTTGTACTTCATAGTAGTGATTCTTTATCTCGATTAACATTGAATCACGCATGATGACCAATGAACAACTTATAATATCATGTCTCCGACATCTCACAAGGTGTCACCCATTCATTAATGACTATAATTGATGAGATACAAGCTTACAACATGTAAAACATACATTTGGACCTTCTGCAACTAAAGCAACTCTCATCAAAAGATTAAATTGATTCATATGTTAGTTGGGCAACAGATTTGCCCAAAATGTAATGGTCAAATATTGCAGGCATCTTGTTCGCTAATTTACAAGCACACTGTACTTTTGTTGACCTTTTACACAACAGGCTGTTCTGGATGTTTTATTCCTCACCACTTGAAATAGAATCACAAGTTATTGTGATCATTAACTGACAGAGATACCTGCACATGTGCTACTATGTTTATGAATTTCAGTGAGCGAGTGAGTTTAGTTTTACGCCGCACTCAGCAATTTTCCAGCTTTATGGTGGCGGTCTGTAAATAATCGAGTCTGGACCAGACAATCCAGTGATCAACAGTATGAGCATCGATCTGCGCAACTGAAAACCGATGACAAATATGTCAACCCAGTCAGCGAGCCTAACCACCCGAACCCGTTAGTCGCCTCTTACGACAAGCATGGGTTACTGAAGATCAATATTCTAACCCGGACCTTCACGGGTCGTTTATGAATTTCAAGAAATAGCCATTTGCTCATGACTACCAGCAGTCATATTTACCTGTGAATGTATATCTGATTAGGTCAATAACGGTGTACACACATTAACTGCACAAACTGCTGCTGATAATGACAGAGAGAATGACAATATGACCAATGCTGCCTCTTTGCAATTTTTGATCAATCATAGCACATCCACTTGATTTTGGGAGAAAGTTCTTTGTCATTCACCACTCTGGGGAAAACTATTAGCAGAGCTTTTTGCTGACAAACCTTGAAAAATAATGAGGGCTAATCTGGAATTTAAAATCAATAATCAAGGATTAAACATCCATCCATAATCATAGGGAAGCAACTTTCACAGCATATTGCAGCACCTAAGATTATGGGCCACACATTCATCTCACATTCTCCAAATCAAAGGCATCTCATTGACAATCACCTACCCTCGTGTATTCGTAGTTCCTGTGGTCTGATCGACCATGTTCTGTAACCTGATGTCTGTTGGTTGGTAGAACAATCCGATAGATGTACATCCTCAGGCCAATTAAAGCCATTTCAGAGGATGGATGTCCGTGAGCCACCTCTTCCACAAATTTGCGGCGCCAGTACAAGCCATTATGGAAACCAAGGACATGTGGGGAGAAGGACCCATGTTCTATGCCTTCACACAGCAGGTTGTAGATGAAGTCCTGTGTACTGTGGTTTTCCGCGGGGCAAGTCAGCATATAGAAGTTGCGGGTGTGAGTTATGGCAGCTGCGAACTGATGATCTCTTTGCTGTAAGCGTAATCATGGCAATCATAAGTTTCATTGACTTTGCTCGACGTGAAACAAATTTGATGGCGTGGAGGTCTGTCAATGTTACATAATGTCTCAACAGAATTGTTTTATTGGCAAGTAAAAATAACATCCATGGTTCTTGGATGACGACATTCTACATGATGTATGATGCCAACATTACTTCATGATTCAAGGATGCCAACATTCTTCATAATACATGGATGCCAACATGATTCATGGGTGCCAACATAATATGATACTAAATGATATATGGATGCAAACATGCTCTATAATATAAGGCCAACATGATTCATGGATGTCAACATACCACATGATTCATGGATGTCAACAAGAATCATGGATGCCAACATAGTATGATTAGATGCCAACAAGCTACATAATATATGGACTGCCATATATGATAAATGATTTCCAACATAACATACCATATATGATACATGATATCCAACATAACATACCATATATGATACATGATATCCAACATAACATACCATATATGATACATGATTTCCAACATAACATACCATATAAGATACATGATATCCAACATAACATACCACATATGAAACATGATATACAACAACATACCACCTATGAAACATATCCAACATAACATACCATACCATATATGATACATGGTATCCCATATAACATACCATATATGATGCATGATTTCCAACATACCATATAAGATACATGATATCCAACATAACATACCCCATATATGAAACATGATATACAACAACATACCACCTATGAAACATATCCAACATAACATACCATACCATATATGATACATGATATCCCATATAACATACCATATATGATGCATGATTTCCAACATACCATATAAGATACATGATATCCAACATAACATACCCCATATATGAAACATGATATACAACAACATACCACCTATGAAACATATCCAACATAACATACCATACCATATATGATACATGATATCCCATATAACATACCATATATGATGCATGATTTCCAACATACCATATAAGATACATGATATCCAACATAACATACCACATATGAAACATGATATACAACATAACATACAATATATGATACATGATATCCAACATACCATATATGATACATGATATCCAACATACCATATATGAAACATATCAACATAATATACCATACATGAAACATGATATCCAACATAACATATATGATACATGATATCAACATAATATACCATATATGAAACATGATATCCAACATAACATACCATATATGAAACATGATATACAACATAACATACCATAATATGATACATGATATCCAACATAACATACCATATATGATACATTATATCCAACATACCATGTACGATACATGATCAGTCAGAGACGTAACGTGTACGCGGGACGGCCTATCGTCTCTTGTACGCGAGACGAAGCGCTCCGCGGTACTAACTGAAGCGCAAATATATGACTGATGGTTTTCAACACATTTTCAAGGTTTTCAACATACCATACAGTCGAGGATTGCAGGATGGTTCTCCACATTACCGTAGTTCCTCACCAAGGAGGCCAGCTTCTGAATACTTCGACGACCTTCGATACCAAGCGAGTGAAATAGTATCTGCATGAATGGTCCGGTGTAGTCATTGCCTGCAACGATGCTCAGTTCCACAATCTGAGCATGTTCTGTCAACTGAAAATTACACACGAAAAAGGTCCAGGGGTGGAAATAACTTTAAAATTGATAGTGTACTCCGGTATAGTGGCACATGTAAAGTCACTTGCCCTGATATTTTTTCCAGTATACCGACCGTTTTCTTGCTGATTTTTTAAATAAACAACATAATTAACATTGGAAAGTCAACTGGACACCGGTACAGTACAGTGTGATATACAAATTTGCTTGCCCGACAGAAAAAACACTGGACTCGGAGTCCGACGTCGGGCAATGGGTTATTTCCACCCCTGAGGTCAGACTAAGCTTCTTGATAGATAGATAGATAGATAGATAGATAGATAGAAGACACATACAAAACAACAAAAGACACATATACATTAAAACACCCATACATATGTCATATATTACTAAAATACCTAGCAATAACAGCCAATATATGAGGCAAAGATAAATGATGAATAAATACTAATATATTTAAGATTTAGAGCAATAGTGGCGACATTAAAAATTTTGCTAAGGAACAGTTGCACTAAAAGTATATTGATATGACAGTTTGAAACAATTGATAAAGTATTATAAGATGATTTACAAAACATTATAATAATTCATTTAAAACACTGATGTATGCTTGGATGAAAGAATTTCGAGCCCTGTTTGTTCTGAATATTGGCGTGCGCAGTCGTTGGCCAGAAGGAAGAAGTTGAAATTCAGGAAATAGGACATGAGTGCTGTCATCTAAAATTTTACATACTTTTTTTCAATTTGCTGCTTGTTAATAGTGCCGATATCTTGCTTGTTAAGTCCAGAAATTTTACTCGCTGTTTTAACAATTTTGGAAAGTTTACATCAATTTTGAACAGACAGACCGCCATACCAGCAATGTACGTTGAAAACTAAAATACTTTGTATAAAAGATTTATAAAATAACGACAATATGGTTGTGTCGATCTTAAAATAACGAAGACGACGTAAGAAGTATAGCCGCTTTAGTCCTTTCTTGTATATGTAATCAATATTACTGTTCTAGGTGAGTTTAGAATCTATGACTGTGCCAAGATACTTATAAAAAGTTATATTCCTCAACTCTATCCATGGTTTCGTTATCAATGGCAATTGGCAACAGCTCACTTTTACTTTTCCAAAAAATCAAATACCATATCTTTTGTTTTCTTAACATTTAATTTAAGGAAGTTGATTTTACACCAATCAAGAAATTGTGTGATTTCAGAGCGATAATCATTCTCCGCATGCCTTATAAATCCAGCGAGTGCGGCATCATCTGTAAACTTCACAGTTAACCAAACGTAATGGCACTATGTGTTATTCAAAATAACAGTTTTAAAAAATATAAAGGAACTTGACTATCAATGTATTGGGTGGTAAACCATAGTTTCATGAAGAAATCCAGATATGTCGATGTCAGTAACATACAATGAAAATACAGGCTATGTCATCAATGAGTCATGGTTGAGTTTCTGTGAATAACAAAATGTATTTGCTATTGCTGATGACTGAAAAGGGTCACTTTGCATCAGATTCACCTGAATTCAATCAAGGATTTGAGAACATGGTATATTTGCAGTCTGTGACTTCAGCAACTGGTCTGGGTTTGTGGGAATCCAGAGGTTTGATATAAACCAACCACCTGAATATACTACTATTTTTCCTATAAAATCTAAGTAACATTTTACAGTGACATGTCCCCTTTTTCACGAACTTCTCAAACATCTTTCTTATTATATCCCTCCTCTTGAGACAGTCATATTTAATGGTGACCATCGCTACATTCTCACCTCTCATCCCCATGTCACCATAGATACTATATTCCTTACAGCTATTCTTGTTTACAGAGTCTGAATTAAGGTCTTTGAACGGCAAGAGAATTGTTTCAATTATAGTTTTTGCTTGTACAATTACAACAAATACTAGAACTGCAATGTATTACTGGTAAAATGCAATACGCTTTTCAAACGATATGTATTGTAATATTGTTTCTGAGAACCAGTATATTGGGTAAAGAACATATATGTGAATTTATCATGGTATAATTTAATTAAAATCTACACTTTCATTCACAACAGAAGTTTTCCGGCATACTGACTGACTGACTGACTGACTGAATTTGGTTTTACACCGCTTTTAGCAATATTCCAGCAACATCACGGCGGGGGACACCAGAAATAAGCTTCACACATTGTGACCATGTGGGGATTCGAACCCGGGTTTTCGGCGTGACGAGCCAACGCTTTAACCACTAGGCTACCCCACCGCCCTTCCGGCATACTGTAACAATAAAAATTGTATAAAAAAGAAAATAGCATCCCTGACCATGCAACTTAAGTTTGTGATTGCTGTTATCAGAACCATAACATAGATTTTTTGGGCTTATAATGTAGAAAATAGGATTGAAATGTACAATTAGTATCACCTTCAGTCGAAGGCTTAAGTTTCCAATATATTGCAATACGTATCACAATAAGGGATACCTTGATCACAATATATTGCAATACAATTCATTTACTAATAGTAATACACATATCACACTGATTCACTCACCCCAAGGCTCCGTGCAACCTTTTCTGCCTTTAAAACATGACATACAAGTCTGAGAGGTTTTTCTGGCAGAGCCATCGGCCTACCAAGTTGAAGGTCACCATGTACGTCAAACATCTCATTCGAAATCATCGCCCCCTTCCGAAACGCTAAGAAATCTGTATCATTGCTCAGGACAGCCACAGCCTTTGGATTTGTCTCTAGTTCTTGTGCAATGATGTAATCTGCCTCTCCTGAAGGCAGCTGGTGTACAGTACACCCACAAGCTTTCAGGGTATTTGTAAACTGGATCTCTAACAGCACAGGCTTCATTCGAGCCTCACGGTGAAGCTGCTCAACACGAAACACCCCCCCGACACATGTCCATGATCTCTCTCAGTCTCTGAACTTCCTGCATGTGCCGATCCTTCCACGTTTCAAGCTTCTGCTTAGTTCCCTCATATGAACTTCCCTTGGCACCATCCACATAGAACACAAGTTCAATTCCTAAACTTTTTAAATCATTTATGAACTTTGACAGGTAGGAGTCAAGGGTCTGGTATTCACCCCCATCAAACTGGAGGTAAGGGTTGTGACACATGTCTGAGAGACCACGCCACAATTGTTCCAGGATGAAGTATTCAAAGGAGAAAAAGTCGACAAGAATCGTAATTCCATCCCTGTGCCGTGCGACCTCGACCAGGTCGATGGTGTCAGCACATGCAGAGATGTGTTCTCGACAGTACGACAACAGTCCCCGGATCCCCATGTTGGCTTGCTGCTGGCAGGTTCATGCACTACAATGCATGTGTTGCCATACTTGATGAATTGTCTGAAATAAAAAAAACCGAAACGTTACATGTACCAATCTGCCAGAACATAAACCCACATCAACATCTAACTAACTCTGACATCTAGTAGTCTAAATCATGTACTCTGTGTGTTGACAGAATAGGAGCGAAATATATGTGCCATTTTAGATATCTGTGTGCCAATACCGTAAGAGCACGTTCCAGGGCATTTGACCATGAATCCTGAAACCTTTTCTGCATGTTCTTTGCATTAGCATCATGTTCTGTGCTACATGTTATTATGTCTTACTTCCTCATATTGTCTAATATGGAAGGAAAACTTTACATGTATCCATTTTCTATGTCCTTAGGGTTGAACCTTGAAAGTTCCGCGCTTGAATTGATCTTCAGCAACCCATGCTTGTCGTAAGAGGCGACAAACGGGATCGGGTGGTCGGGCTCGCTGACTTGACTGATAAATATCATCGTATCCAAATTGCGCAGATCGCAACAGCTCATGCAGTTGATTACTGGATTGTCTGGTTCAGACGCTAGTATTTACAGACCATATAGCTGGGGTGATGCCAAGTGTTAAACAACAACCAACCAACCAACCCCTGCTGTGATATTGCTGTTATATTGTTACGCTGACTTGTCATCGTATCCATTTGTGTAGATCAATGCTCATGTTGTTGATTGTCTTGTCCAGACTCGATTATTTACAGACCACAGCGAAATAGCTCGGACAATGCTGAGTGCTGTGTTAAACAACAAACAAATCAAAACCTTAGCATTATCTTGAGTATCTGTCTGGAGAGTAAAAAGTTGGTACCTTGATCCCCAGCTGCACCATACAAAATAGTACATGTTGTCACCCTGCCTGGCACTTACATAAAGCGCCTTTAGCAAAATTCCAACAATATCACGGTGTGGGAACACCAGAAAAGGGCTTTACATATTGTACCCATGTAATGGGAATCAAAACCAGGCCCTCAGCGTGACAAACGAATGCTTAAACCATTAGGCTACCCCACAGCCCACAGCCCTAAGATAAAACAAGAACTGATAAGCTAATAGTCAGTGTACTGTATCTGAATGAGGTATCCATATTAAACCGTGCCATGGTATCTCAGTAGACCAACACCAAAAAATGAAATGTATAAAACCTAGCGCAAATTGAGGATCTGGACAATTCATACCCACAGAGATTCTAACACAAATATTTTGGGCAGACTCATACCCAAATGTTGAACAACCCTTACTTCATGCCTTAGCAACTGCGTGACTCACACCCGGAAAAGTTTTACATATGACAATATGTATGATTTGAAGTGATTGTTTGTATTTTAAATAGCATCAATGACCACATGAAATTATCTGCAAAAATCCATAAACAATGACGGAAAATGATCCGGTGGCCCCGTCCAATCACTATGTAAACAAACTTCTTATTACTCTGACCAACTTCCAAACCAACTGGCTACCGAATAGTTATCACCATATTTTAGCATTTTTAACAAATTTTTTCTGCCGTTTGTTAAATTAATGAAACAAAATTAATCATGATACTTAATTAGCTATTCATCGATGTGTCCAGTCTGTTCGATGCCACAAATCATGTTTTTACATACCTCGGCGGAAGGGAATCATGGCAGTATAAATAGATGTTTTCTCACAACTAACTGTAACAGTTATCGCCATTTAGGATTTCTCATGTCATTCACGAAATAATATATATATTCATATCATACATTAACCTCGAATAATTGATTGTGTGACTATTTGAGTGTTTCTTGTACAGTAGATTGATAGGGAATGAAACAATTAATGACTTGTGAACTTGAACTTGCTACTATTATATAGGTCGTGGGACATCATACCCCCATCCCCACCCCCACCCCCGACTAAATTAAAAAATTGTCATAGGGTTCGAAACTTGACCTTTAATTTTTCTCTGACGTTACTACCGTGAACAATTTTCTTTTGCTGTCCTTTATTGTTGTCAAATACCGTGGGGGAAAAAATGACAGAATTGTAATTGACCTGAACTGTGCACATGTGATACTGATGTATTGGCGATAACAGTTATATCCCAACATTCCACTTAAAGAAAAAAATACCAGAATTGTAATTGACCGGAATTGTGCATGTGTGATACTGATGTATTGGCGATAACAGTTATATCCCCAAACTTCCACATACCAATACTACCACACACTGTTAAAACAACAACTCCTCATCACCCCTTTCTAGGTAATAGGATAGTCCAGGAAGTGCACTGGACTGAAACAACAGATAATGTAATTTTCTGACTAAAATTGATATTTTATACTTATCCTGACTCATGCTAATTATGCTAGCCTCTTCTTCTTGCGAATGATAGTGGAACACTTGAAATGCCTTGAAGTTCCCTTTAAAAATGAAGACGTAAAATCACTCACCCAAGAGTAGCGTCCCTTTCCTCCCTTTGGCGCTCTGATGGTCACTCTCTCGGTATGTAAACCCGACACCGGGATTAACAGAGAAATCCAGAGTGCCATAAGTGGGGAGGTTGGGAGGGCTAACCTCATGAGTCAGGATAAGTATAAAATATCAACTTTAGTCAGAAAATTACATATTTTTCCTTATCCTGACTCATGCTAATTATGCTTGCAGAATCTGTCGGAAACGGTGGTGGGTCCAGCCACGTTCTGGATTCACTGGTAGTAGATTTACGTCCTGTATTACCCCCCCTTGGGAACTTATGACGGCACTGTTGAAGATTCTTTCAACTTCTCTCTGATGAGTCGGGGGGACCACAACTTGTCAGATTTCTTCCTGACATTTTCGTGTGGAGTTTAGATATACTAATATTCCATTAGTTATCTATTGCAACTCCATCTCTTGATGCACGCATCAAGTGGAGATGCGACCCTTCTTCATGTACGAGTATTTCCTATACAAGGACAGGGTCTATCACTCATGCTAGTCTGTCCTAGACGTGTGCATGGACTTATAGCCATTGCTCTCCAGAGTGTTGGTTTTCACAAGTCACGTGATAAAAGGGGTGAGATTTACTCAGCGCCTTTGTTGAACCGTTAGGTTTTGTGCTACAACAAGTGGCCTAAACTGGTGAATGCCTGAGACGTCTTCAGTGGCAGTGTCTCTGAGGTAGTGGTTGGCAAACACTGTGTTCGATCTCCAAAAGCAGCCCTCCATTATAGTTGTAATCGAGCAGTTTCCATGCAGAGCAAGTGTTCACGCCAGGGCTCTGACTTCATGTGGATTGGAGACTCGTGGAGGCTCAAGTCCTGCTGCTTTATAGGCCCTTAGTATAACGTGCGTTTGTTGAAAAAAATATGAATGACCAAAAAAACACTCAGACTATTTGAATCTCTCACCGCCAATTGCATGATTCTTATTAAAAACTCCATAATAGGCAGCAAAATCCTTTTAGCTATGTTCTTTGTACTTTCAATATGACGATATATATTTTTCATGATTCTTTAGACAATAACATAATGCCATAAGGATTTAAGTGCTCGGGATGATATTCATCAAAGCACCGCGCTCATTTACGCGCGTTTTGATTGGTTTGTCGTATTTTCGCACATAACAAGCATCGGGAGGGGGACGAGTCTTCTTGGAGTTTACGGAAAGGGGTGAGTGGTGACGAATGAATCAAACAGGGTTTAAAGTAGTTCTGCTGATGTTCATGCGCCAATATGAAATCGTTCCAGAGGGGCATGAGTCGCTATTCGGCTTGTCCCGGAATAACACGAGTGGGTCACGAATGAGCATTAGATATGCATCAGAATAAGGATACACGTGACAATGAATGAATGAGTGAGTGAGTAAGAGACTGGGCAAACGCCAATTTGGACAGTTGTCAGTAACGCCACGGTGTGGCGGTGAGAGTGAGTTTAGTTTTACGCCGCTTTTAGCAATATACTGGGCAATATCACGTTGGGGGACACCAGAAATAGGTTTCACATAGTGTGCCAATGTGGGGAATCGAACCCGCGTCTTCGAAGTGACGATCGAACACTTTAACCACTAGGCTACCCCACCGACCCTGTGATAGCATTACGTGGGGTGAAACTCAAGTCACGTTGGTCTTAGTGGAACCATTGGTCACACGTTCTGTAGAACGCTCAATACAAAGACACTGCGATTTGAACCTCAAAGACGACATGGTGTATTGCCGCCTGTTATCAATCCAAACCCGTGAAGGTTCAGGTTAGAACTGGTCTTCAGTAACCCATGCTTGTCTTTAGAGGCGACTAACGGGATCGGGTGGTCGGGCACGCTGACTTGACTGATAAATGTCATCGTATCCAAATTGCACAGATCGCAACAGCTCATGCTGTTGATTACTGGATTGTCTGGTCCAGACTCGAGTATTTACAGACCATTCGGCTGGGTTAATGCCAAGTGTTAAACAACAACCAACCAACCAACCCCTGCTGTGATATTGCTGTTATATTGTTACAAGCGGCATAAGCCACAACTCTCTCACTTACTAACTTACATCATCAATAGTGTTACTCCTTGAATGATTTAATCTGTTAATACAGTGTCTTATATATCTGATAATAATGGCGTAAGCTTAAAAAAGTCACTTCTCCATCCAACTGTTTATATCGGGTAATTATCATAATCAGAACTGTTTCACCTGCTTTTTACTTTATCCATTATACAGAAAAGTACACAACTAGCGTGTTTGGATTATTTCCCCAAAAATGGACAACGGCGCGGTCGTAAATATCTTGAAACGTATTTTTAAAAACACCACCACAGATATCGTACCCAACTGCAACTCTGCCAGCGCCCAACGTGTACGATTTCAGTCGACGTTGACGGGTTCATGACATACCCCGAAATGTTCGATAAGCCCGGATGCTCACAGCACGCAGTCGTCTCATTAGACAAACGCTTAGTCTCTGAATATATATAATTTTAAGAGTGAAATATAAACCCATTTAAAATGAAAAGGAGCCACGGTAAGGTGGGACGTTCAGAATGTAGACTTGCTTCATTGTTTAGGACTTGATATAGCATG